ATTACATTACATTACATTACATTACATTACATTACATTACATTACATACATACATTGCATTACATTACATTACATTACATTACATAACATAACATTACAGTACATTACACTACATTACATTACATGCATACATACATACATTACCTACATTAAATACAATACAATACAATACATTACAATACAATACAATACATACATATATATATATCGTTATTTCTTTTTTTCTATCTATCTATCTATCTATCTATCTATCTGTGTTTGATTGTGATATTCGGTATGATATGTCGGTTTGACTCACAACATCCTGGAATCATGCTTCTGTGCATGCTGCGCGGCACGTTGAAAATGGTCGAATGTGCTGAAAAAATGTGTAAATAAGAAAAACAATTCATCCGTCAACTTGAAGCTATAACATCTCTAGCTCCTGCAGGCCCTTGACCATCTCGTACAGCAAAGCATTCATGTACTCACACTCTTGCAGGAAGACGAACTGGTAGGGTCCCTTGTCGTCCTCGTTCATGCCACGGCTCACGTCATCCGTGGGGAATTTCTTCTCGTTCACCTCCTCCAAGATCTCGTCGCACGTCATCTGCGCAATGGCCATCGGGCTCATGGACGCGTCATCATCACCATCCCCACCGCCTGAACCACCTGCAATGGCTATTGATTCCCGGAAGTGGGGTGAACGAGCACGTGGACCCGGTGGACCCCATACAAATCCACCATTGTTAGTGGCTGCATCTGAATCATGTTCTACAGATTTCTACAGTACCATATATGTTCTATCTTTCTTGTGTAACATGCTGGTGAAATGTCCTGAAGCCTGCTGCAAACCACCCCTGCAGATTGCCTGCGAGCATGGTCAAAAGCTCAAACACCTTGTCGCACTCAGCAGTTCGGAAGTTGATCTCTGCGTTGGGGTGCATGCCGAAGAACAACCTTGGCTATCGCGCTTAGCTATTGGAGTGGGGTGGAAGTGGGGCAAAATGTCACGGATTCAGATTGTCATGATGCGGTGATGGGTCAGAGCCCTTTACCCTTGGCTTAGTACCCTGTAATATCCTGGAATGATATGCCCAGGAACGGTGATTCTGGCGGCATCGTCTCGATGTGCTCAAGATAGCGTTCATGCGCAGCCGGCTGAGGTGATGGCCAGGACAGCTTTCCTTCCTCGGAAAGGACGTGCGCATGGGATGGTTGCTCCTGGACACTCCTAAACACCCTCCCACTACCAACACTTTGCAACAAGATGCAACAAGTGAACACATTTGACCAAGTTGCTGCATATGGGATCATGTCGATCTCGTCAAGCAGCTCATCTCGCATGAAATACAACAAATACTTCTGCGACATGCGGCGGTCCCAGTCATCCACAATGTGCCCACCATACATGATCTCGCCAAAGATGTATCGCAAGTCATCCCATGGAATCTTCACAGCTGAAGATCCCTCCAGGTAGTTGTACAGGACTTGGGCCGAGTCCCGCAAATCACCGGCTGAGAATGGATACCTGAGCACAAATTGGAAATGAAGAAATGAAGTTGGAAGCCAAAATACGCAAAGTTTACAAGGATTACAGTGTACCGACCCTTGCAGTGTATCAGAACAAAACAGTGCCATGCACAACAAAGGGTTGCATCATGTTGTAGCCCATGGGTCCAAACTTCTTTCGCTCCAACATAAGGGAGTGGAAGTGGCACAGGGCAAACAAGATAGACTTCACCTTGGCATCTTTGTCCTCGAAGTCCTCTTTGGGGAAGAGTGCGAAGGATCGTCGGAGGTTTGCAAGCATGCCTTGCGGTGGCTCGTTGGTCAGTTTGATAGAACGCTCCAGAATGCCAATTGGAATGCCCTTGCTGGGATCTGCAGACAGGAAGAGCCTGAAGTTTGGATGGCTGTTCTCCACCGCAAAGACATCCAGTTTCTTCTCCAGCTCTACACACCATTTTGGCATCAAATGGATGTTCTGAAGCATGACCCAATGCCCCTCTCGATGTCCAATGTCCAGCTTGGCCATGGCAACAACATCTTGTCCTTGACCCATGGCCACGTTCCAGTAATTCGATCCCAAAGACAAACCTTCCGGTCTTTTCTTTCCCATTGACTCCACTTCCTTCACTGGGTCAGCTCCAGGCGACAGGATGAAGAAAATGGGTGTGGTGCTGGTGGAGTCTTCGAAGGAATTGCTGAGGATAAGCGCGAAGGAAGATGATCCATCGCAGTCCATATAGTCTTTGCCATTCGGCAAGGCACCTCGGATCCATTCAGCCATGGCTGCACAGCACCGATCCGGTCTCAAAGCTCGAAGGACCAGCAGCTTCTGGAAAGGAACTGAGTCAAGCCTCTTCCAATCCAGTGGCAACTTCACCTCTTCTGGTGCTATCTCGTTGAACCACTCCTTGAAGCGATTCGGTGCATCCTTCTCCATGTTCTGTGCAAAGTTCTCGAAGCCTTCAAGGTCATTCAACTTCAGAACCAGGCCCCAGTTCTTTGTAGGCAGCCATTCCTGCAGTGGGTTCTCCATACCCACAGACATCGGGGCTCGCAACAGGTAGTTGAAATATGCAGGTGAGAAATCCTCCTGCAAGAAGCCTTTCTGGAACAGCTTGAAGGTCAACATTGAGCAAAAGATCAACTTGTGACGTTCAAACAGGCCTCTGTTCACCCAGCGGAAGATGGTCATGCGAATCACTGAAATCAGTCTCTTCGTTCGCTCTTGGATATCATCCGTGGCTTCAGTTCGATCGATGGCCTTGTACAAGAAGTTGACGAAGGAGTCAAGGGAGTACTGGTACATGTGCTCAATGAAGCAAAGCTGGATGATCAAGAAGAAAAGCATCGATCCCTCCGCAGCTACAGGCCGATACAGCTCTCGAGATGTGTTGATCTCAACTTCTGTCTTCTGGGCTAGTTCTACCTGTTCAGCAATCTCTTTGGAGGTAGCTTTGGTCTTTTCCAAGCCCTCAATAAGGGGAATGTTGTCAAGAATTGTTGCTGGATCTGCAGTTGACAACTGGGACAATAGGTCATCTTCCAGCTGCGACAACGTCACCTTGAAGTCATTCTGCCTGCGGACCAGCTCTTGCTTCTCTTGTTCCAACTCTGGCTTCTCAACATTGACGACCATTGCCAGAATCTGATCCTCCAAACCATCTGGCGTGACAATGAAGTTGATGATCGTACACTGCGCAGCGATCTCCGGCCTGTAGTGCGGATTTGGCAGTTTGGACTGCAAGTATAGCTGGAACTTGGGATCGTAGTCCACCTCCTCACCACCTATTTTGATGATCATGGCATTGCGCCCTCGTTTAATCACCGCTCGTGACAGGACAGGCTCAAGGATAGCATCAATCTCTTGTCCCACTGCCTCAATCAGCAGTTGGCCACCCATTTGGATAGCAAACAACACCTTCTGAAGCCACTGATTCATGGTGAACTGCAGCACTGTCAGGTCCTCACCCAACCTCTGCTTGATCCACTTCACACCTTGCAACTGAGGATCGATCATCAATGGCCACCGGGAGCAGCTTGTTACAACTGACGCGTTCTCCACTGAGATTCGGTCAGAAGGCAAGCCTTCATTCTGCCAGCCAGCCACATCTGCATCCGTGCACAGAACCTTCAGTGGATCAATGCCTGAGCTGATTGGGATGCCTCTGCCAGTAATGTCTCCTGTCCATCCCTCCTTCCACAACTGTACCCGGAAGGACATAGAGAACGGGGAGATGTACCCAACGAATGCTGAAGCAAGAAGACAATTGCCAATGAGTTTCAGCGTCAAGTCCTTCAGATCTTTGACTGTGGCAGTCCAGCGCTTGTACTCATCGGCGAGGCCATTCACAAGCCTCTCAGCCAAGCCAAGCTTCTCTAAGCAAGCAGCAGCTTGTGCTTCTACACGTTCTTTCTCAGCAACAGCCCCATTCAACTTGTCCTCCAATCTCTGGCATTCGGCCTCAATGTCTGCGACCTTCTTCATCACGATCTCCAAGCTGGCTTCAGCCTCGTTCTTGGTTCGTGTTGCTTCCTCCACTTTTGCCATCAGGGGCGCAACCTTGACATAAATCTTGTGGTATTTGACACAGTTGATGGCCCAGTTTGCCAAGTTGGCTGCAGCCAAACTCTTTCCCTTCATGGTTTCATAGTTGAAGAAGGGGAGCGCGATAAGGGCATCACACTCCTTCAGAGTGTTGTCAGGAATCTCGTTGGCATTGAAGGCTTTGACTTCATCAATGAAGGCCATTGGGTTGTTCATCATTTTCTGCGCACCTTTCCAGTCAAGTTTCTTTTTCTCGTTCCTGAGAAGGAAGCCTGCACATGCGCAAACATCAATACACTCAGGTGGTGGTTTGCCAAAGCCCTTCAGCTCGCCAATACTATTCTTGTCTAAGCAATCCACAGCTTCTGCAGCTGCTTTCATGGCAGGCATGGCCTCTGACAACTCACCATCCGCCTGCGATTGAAGCTCAGCTGCATCTGCAGCAAGTTTGGAGGTCTTTTCAGCCTCAACGTCAGCTGCTGCCTTTTCTTCTGCTGCAATGGCAGATGCTTTGGTCACCTGCTCGATCAAAACAGCCGTTGCAGCTTTCTTCTCATCGACCTGAACCATGGTGATCTTCAAATCTTCTTTGAGGCCTTCTACCTTTGACTGCACCTGCTCCATGATGGCCAAACCCCGTTCTAGTCGCTCACAGTTTGCACTCACAGAGTTCTGCTTCTCTGAGAGCATCTTGATGTAGAAGCTGATCAACTCCAAGAACGACTTGGGAGTGCAATAGTTGTGCCTCCGTTCCACCTCCAAATACCTTTTGTTGGCGGTTTCAATGGAAAGATGCACCTCTGCCATATTGGCAGCTACCAGCCCCAGAATGTCTTCATCCTGCAGGTTGCCATTGTTCACCAGTTCCACCAAGAAGCGACGAGCCACACCATCCAGAGCATCACGTGGCCATGCCATGAACTCATCCACCACCATGCAACTGATAAGAGCAGGGAACTTGCGGCCACGAATGCGGAAGTCGTCTCCAACTGGAGAGTGGCAAAGGATATAGTGCAAGTTCTTCCTGAATTTGTCAATGAAGAAGGCGAAGAGACCATCACGATCATCAGAATAGTTTGCAGCTTTTGCAGCATTGCGCACACTTCCAAAGAGCCCGTCGTATTCCTCTCGCGTGAACAGGTCTGGGATAACGCCGCTGGAAAGCATGTCGTTGATAAAGACCAAGAATCTTTCATCTGCGATCTGTCCATCTGTCATCAAGAATGCCTGGGGAGTTCCTGGCTTTACCACCGCTTTCTTGTAGAACTCTTGCAGGTCCAACTTCAGAGCCTCCATACCATAGGACTGATTCACCAAAATGCTCAGCAGGTCCTGCGAATTGATGAAGGTCGCCAATCTGGCCAAGGACTGCTTTCCAGAGCCTCCCACCCCAACAAGCAGCGCATGACCACATGGGTTGTCGGTGATGCGGCAGATACGACACACGTGCCCAATGGCATCATCGAAAAGAACCAAGTTCATGGCTGCAAAGGTCTCGTTGTATTCATGCAATTTGTCGTCTACCACTTTCTTGAGTGTTGGCATGTCTTTGGCAGGCAAGTAGAAGCGCTCATTCCCTTGAGCTTGCGACACAAAGCTAGTCATGATCAAGGGCAGACTGAAAAGATCTTCCTTGGGAATGCTTCCAAAGTGCTTGCCTGCCACCTTCTCCAGGATACCCTGCAGCTCTCCTTGGTCCGCAGCACTCACCAGTCGGTCTGAGAAAACGCGATAGCACTCGTGCAGCCAAACACGAGCAAACTTTGCAGCACCATCTTTGAAGACATTTGGATTCGTATTCAGCATACCCTGGAAAATGTTGCCAACATCTTTCAGGTTGAACTGATAGTGGAACTTAGATGCTGAGGGCAAGAAGCAAGGTGTGTTCAGAATTCCTTGCACCAGCGTATCAATGGTGGCTTGCACAATGGGATCCAGCAACTTCTGAATGGGTGGAACGAAGCCAGCCAAGTGCTTCTCAAGGATTGAACTGTAAATACCTGAAATCATGCTGGCAGTTGGAGTGAAGGTTGTGATGACTGTGAATCTCCGCTGAAGGCGCGGATTGACCATGAAGGAACCTGCTTTGGGATTCATGCATGCAGTGAACAGGATGTCAACAAGGTCTCGCTTGTCCTCCAAGCACTGGCGATCGTAAACCTGGGCATACGCCAACATCTGCGTCAGCAACATGATTGCTGATTGAGTGTCGTAAGTGTCTACATACGGCATGTTCAGGTCATCAATGAAAAAGACGCACTTCTTGTTGGCTGGAGGCCCGAAGGTTCTGCCAGAACGCTTGTCCAACGCGCTCATGATGATGTTCTGAAGGGCAAAGCTGCTAGTGTAGTTGTTGTTGTTGATGGACATGCTGACCATGTCTTCGTTGCTTGCCTTCATTTCAGCAAGGAAGTCCTTGACAATGGTGGTCTTGCCTGTTCCAGCCACACCAACATAAAGAACAGGCTTCTTGCGCGCAACGTGCAGCTCCAGCACGTACTTCATTCTCTCCAACTCCATGTTGCTGATGACCTGAGCAAAATATATCAAAATATGTCATCTAGAAAAACGATATTTGTCGGGATGCCTACTAAAAACTTCTCTATAGACACAATTCCACCCAAAAAAAGCGAATAAATAAAATACCAATAAAACGATGTCGAAAGTCGAAAACATCATTTTGGAAAAGAACAGCACAAATTGTGTAAGTTTTGTGTGTGTGGGCATGTGTGATATGCTGATTGAAATAAGCGGCAATGTTCTGGTACATCTGTTCGGAAATCGGATGGTATGCCTTGATATAGGTTTCCCAGCTCACCCAATCCTTGGCTTTTGGCTCGTAGATGAAATCGTAACACTCTCCCTGGTCTGGGAATTTCACTGCCTTTGAGATGCCCTTCATGAAGGCATTGAAGGACTTGCGGTAATTCACTGTCTTGTCATCTGCGATTGAGCCGCCTATGGTCCACATCATCGCAAAGCAGAACAGTGCATCAAAGCTCATCTTTTGGTCTTCAGGGCTCATGGTCCTCAAAGCCTCCATGTTTTCCTTCGTGTTGTTGTTCAGCAAGGCATCAATGAAGCATGTGAGACTGTTGATGAAACCCATATCCAGCATGGGGCAGGAGAAGTTGAATGATTTGCGAATTGTCTCGATGTTCGACTCAAAGTAATTTGAGAAGTGCAAGTAGAAGGCACCCTGTGGGATAGCGTCCATTTTCTCCCTCCAACTCTCCACATAGGGTTTCCAACCAATATCCGTCTCATTGATGAAGAGCACACCGCCTCGTGAGACAGTTGCTGGACTGGCATGCTTCATGTCCTGAATCTCTAGAATCATGCGCATGGTGGGAGAGAATGGGATTCGCTCATTGGAGACCAATGTCAAGACTTTGTTGTCATCCATGACGGTGTTCATGGACTCAATCCAGGTGGCATCAATATCTCCATCCAAGATCACCCACTTGTGCTGATGGGAGGCCTTGTAGCCATTGATCTCCTTGCTCATGTTTCGGAAGATCACAGCAATCAGCCCATCCTTCCACTCCTTGGTTTTTGACATTGTTCCATAGAGCTCATCACTGGTGACAGCCTTTGGGTTTGCCTGTTCCCATTGTCCATCTTCTCCGCGAGCACGCAAGGCCTCCATCAAGGTCTTCCACACTTCAGTCTTGCCACAACCAGATGGACCAATAATGAACATGCAATGGCGCACTCCAAGAATACCAAGCATGCTCACCGTCTTGATGATGAACTGAGAATCAGCCTGCAGTCCACGCTGCTTCGCAATGTTTTTGCAGAACTTTTCAAACTCAGGATCCTCAAAGGGATCAGGCCATACACCTGGGAAGAGATCCTTGATCAGGCGGATGAAAATAGGCATGTCCAGAGTTGTGATCTTCGGCGTGTTGAAGTCACGCAGGGCTCGACACAAGACCGGATTCTCATCACTTTCTGGCTCCAAACGTTTCAGCGTACCAGCTTGTCGCAGCAGCGATTTCACAGCCCTCAGACCCCAGTCGTAGTGCATCTGCTTGCTTAGTAGCTCCTTGCACAAGGAGTACAGCTGCACGAACTTGTTGGCCAGAGGGCGGGCCTTGATGAAACCTTCAGACATGAGCATGTTCTCACAAATGAAGCGCAGGTCAGGCACAATCATGGCAACTGAACGGAACAGTGCTTTCAAGTTCTCTGGAAGCTCTGTACGTCCAGCATAACCCGGGTTCATTGTGATGAAAGCTCCACAGGTTGAAATAAGCTTGGTCTCCTCCTCTGCAAACAGGAACACCTGCAGTTGGGCCCGGATTGCATCAAGAATGCACTTGTACTGCGTAGAGACCACCGACAGCACCTCAATTGAGATGCGGTTGAACTCATCAAAGCATCCCCAGCATCCTGTCTGGGCAATACCCATGAAGATTTGTGCCATTGTCTGGTAGGTCATCTGGTCACTGCAATTGAACACAACAATCTGAAGACCTAGGGCACGAGACAAATCCTTTGTCGTCTCTGTCTTGCCAGTACCTGCTGGTCCTGCTGGGGCACCACCTAGTGTGAGCCCAAGCGCTTGGGTCAGTGTGATGTAGCAGCGATCTGTGAGTGGTGTGATCACCAAGCGCCCACAATTGCCAACATACTCATAGCAGTAGATGGTCGTCCAATCACAAATTCGAATGACACAGGTTTTGAGATCGTCTGGGGTGTGGCTCACAAGGTTCATACCTTGAGGGCAGTAGTTCCAGTGAAAGCGCAACTGCGACAACCACTTGAAGTTGGTGCTGTCCGAGATCTTTGCAATGGCCATCTGTTCCACAATGTCACGGCCGTGCACATCAATGGTGATCAGGGTGATGATCTTGTTGCGCACATCCTTGCTCAGCTTGGTCTGGACGCGTTTGATCAGCTTTTCAATGCGCTCATCGTTCACTCTCTTGTAGTCCTTCATGGCGGTCTCACTTCCACTTTCGATCTCCTCGAACACACGGTTTGTCTCCTCCGTCCACATGATTTGTGTGCCCACCAGAGCCAACTGTGAACAATATGCTTCCAGCCAGAACTCCCGAGGGTTGCCTTCTGGTACTTCCCAGTTGTCTGCTGTTGCCCTGGCTTGCTCAAGCTCAATGCGTAGCTGCAAACGAAGATGACCTTCCAACTGCAAAAGGTAGGCCTCCACAGCACCATCGATATGCATATCTTCTGCCCATGCAACGCTCTCGGTGTCCTTGGAAATGTGACCACATGCAATGCGACCTGTGTCTGGCGCTTTGGAGAAGTCTAAGGTTTTCACTCCATCAAAGATGTCGCCCAAATATTCTGCCACCTTCAAAGGCTTAGCACCATTGGACAGAATGTCCAACAAAGCCTGGTTGGCGACGAAGTAAAAGCGAGGGAATGCCTTCTTCTTCTGCTCTAGGTACTCATTCAGAGCCTTCTCACACGTGTCAATGCCTTCCGAAATTGCCTGCAAAGCGGCCTCGCGTCCCTCTGCACAGCAAATTTCCACAATCAACGAGCTGTTGGATGCATCCATCATAAGCTCCTTCCAGGCAGCATCCATTTGCTCAAAGCGCTTTGAATCCTCAGGGAGCTGGGAACGAATATCAGCACTCTGCATGAAAATGGGCTCCAAGCGGCACCAGTTGGCTTGGACTTTCGTCCAAACACCCAGCGCACCATCGATCGCACGCAGCTTTCCACTCCATTCATCGACGACTGGCTTGCAGAATTCAATAAAGCGGCCTTGGGAAGTCATGCCCATCATCTCCAATGAATCGCTGTCCAACTTTTCAATGACCTCACCAAGCTCACCCAGAAGTGGACAGTCTGGATTGGAGCAATCGAAGGACACTGGCATCTTGGACCAAGTGGCACGGATGGCGGAGAGCTTCTTCTCAATCTTTGCCTCCTTAACACTTTGGTCAACCACCTCAGAAACGTCCTCCGCAAACTCATGGAGCTTGAGATCCAGCAAGTCCTTGAAACAGAACTCTGGTCCCTTCTCAAAGGACTTCTGGGTAATCACCATGATGCTATTCCAATGCCTATCTCGCATGGTCTCTCCATGCAAGTCGTTCACCAATGGAAGCACTGTGGCCATGTTCTTGACCTCATCTGTGAGCCATCTGTAGAGGGCCCAAGCTTTGATCTGCTTCGGCATATTCTTCACTTGAGTCTGAAGGTCGCGCGCTTGCTGCACCAAAGAATCAGTGTCAATTTTGTCCCATAGAATTCCGTTCCAGCTCTCGAAGGTCTCTTTTACAAGAGTCACTCCATCCCATAAGTTCTTCAGCAGGATCAACTCTTCCTGACACTCTTTGAGCTCCCTGTAGCTGGACATTTGCATGTCAAAGAGCAACTCCAAATCATTGAACTCATTGGCCCTTTGCCGGATGGCCAGGGTCTTGTTGTAGTAGTCGTTCATGGTGTCGTAGCTGAGGTCATATTCACCAGCTACTGCATTTGAAGGATCAAATGGACACTTCTCACGGAATTCATGGCAGAAGTTCTGCAGCTCTTCTGCAAAGATGTCAATCTTGTTGCGAATCTTGAGAACTTCTTCACTCTGCAGAGGTAAAATCTGTTCCTTGACATCGAACGCCATTCGGATCACTTCATCCCACTTGTTTGGTGCCTGATCCAGCTCAGTCAGACCTTCATGGTTCACATGATGCTTTTTGAGCAGCTGGCAGAGATCTCGGATTGGTGGGAAGAGCTTCTTCACCGCTGTGGTTGCCAACTTCACATCACGGATGTTGGTCATGGTAGAGTACAGCAACTTCTCATTCTCCGGCTCGTCAACTGGCGAAGGTGGACCAAGACCCTCCTGCTGTTGATTGATGAATTTGTCCAGGGTGCGGATGCGGTCCTCAGTGAAGTTCTTGAGGAAGTCAACGTACTTCTCTTCCCACTGCCGAGCAAAGGAGACAAGGGCCAGCTTCACTGGCTGTGCGCCAACACGGAGCCAATGGATGTCCACTGGAGTCTTCATGTTTGACAAATCTGCCTTCAGGCTTTTGAACTTCAGAATTTCTTTGTCAAACTCTTCCAGTGCAGGAATCTGACGGCCGATATCTACCTTGATTCGGCCCATGATGTCCCTGAATGACAGGCCTTCCTCCTCAAATCCCTCCACCAAATCACGAGCACCCTCCTGCAAGAACCTCTCAAAGGATTTGTCAATTGACTCGGTCCACAGGTACCTCAGATGGATTCAGATAGAACAGAAATCATAAATAAAGCTCTCAAAATCTTCTTCCAAGCTTGATTGCCATCATGACTCATGACCCCCAACTATTTCCTACACAAATTGCCGCACTTCGACAGGGCAGATGCAATCAAGCAGCGAGTGTTGCATGAAGGTCTCCCGGTAATCCATGCATTTCATCTCTGTGTTGTCAATAAGCTCTGACACAAGTGCCAAGAGACACTGCATCTGGAAGTGTTCCCTGATCTCACTCAAATAGTCACCACTGTTGGTGTCCAAACGCTGCATGCAAGTGACTGTGGCAAAGAAATCCTTGAGCCAGCCATCAATGGTTGACCTCAGGGAAATGTCCCCAGGCTTAGCAGACTGGAAAGGTGGATCAAAGATGATCTTGGAATCCTGCAGTTCGATCTTCACTTCGAAGAGTGGAAGCATCTCATGCTTCGCGATGATCAGCGGATCCAGAATCTCACAAAGATGCTGCAGGGAGACCGCGATAGAAGACACAAAGCCTTCAATGACAATGTTGTTGACCTCAGCACTGTCAGTTTCTGACCAGGAAGCAACAGCAATGGAGACACATGCTGTCTACATAGTGCAAGTGAAACAGCCCCCTCCAAGAAGAAATCCAGGTTGTTTTGCCCAAACCAGAGCTAGATAGAAGGCTCATCAAATGTTCTGGGCACGGCTTCCAAGTCTATATAAATTACTTCTGGGCTTCTGGGGCGTCTAAGCAATGCCGCCAGTTATTGGTTCAGAGGCAACAAAATGACGGCAAAAGTCTGTACAAGCTACTCACACAAAGGGATGGCAAAAATGAGTGCAAGCTTGTGACACAAAAGGAACCCCACTACATCTATACAACCCGGCTTTCTACTTAACACACTCACCCTGGGCCAGCGACAAAATCCACATAGGCTTTCCAATTAGCCGCCACCTTGGACACCTTCAAGGCTTCGGAGGAGTCCTTCACGAACTTGTGGATTTCCTTGCCGCCCTCCGACTGGGTCATCATGCCTCAGCTGATGCAAAACATGGCAACATCTGGCAACATCAAGCACGGCATTCACAGACGCTGCACCAGCTCTTCCCTCTAACAAAGGACAAGACAATGAGAAAACGATAGAAAAAGCTTGCGCATTTCCCAGCAAGAACTCGTTGGGACAACTCACGTGATTGAAGACAGCCAACTCATCAAGAGTCATCAGTCCTATATTGGATCAAGGTGCGCATGCCCACGCGCTCCTTGTGCTTGAGATCAAACTCATCCAGTGCCATGGGTTTGGAGCCTTTGGCACGCGAGATGATTGGCTCCTTGCACCACTGCGACAGAATGCCGGAGATGGAGCGGAGGTTACCTCGGATGCTTAAGGATCTCGATGTTACAGTAATTGGTCTGGATCACCGAGCATGACAGCATGACCAGTAGCAAAAAACTATGTGCATCTAGAAAGTACCGGTAGGAATGCTGACATATGTTAATCCAACCCAATGCCGAGGGACCCTTCATGATCTCAACCACACCTGACACATCGCTCACGACGCGCATGGTGTTCTCGATGAACTCCGGGATCTTGTCTTCGCTCTTCCACTTGAGTTCGGTGAGGCCAGGAGACAATACTTGGTCCATCTTTGCAATGCGATCCTCCAGCAAAGGCTCTTCAACTGGCAGCAACTCCGTCAGCACAGCGTTGTACATGCCGACAATATGATCTAACTGTGCCACCCACTGCCTGTAGGTCGCCACCCTGCTGAACATCTCTAAGGCTGCTGGTGGCACTTCGATGTCAAAAATCAAAAAGAAGCGCACCTCTCGAAGAAGTCTCACGAGGGCAGGATCAAAGTTGACCTTCAACAGGCCCGACTTTTCTTGCCTTCGCAGGAGTCTCATCTTCAGCTTCTCCTTGGCAGCCTCCACTGATGTCTGTTCCCAGGTCTGATACCGTTGGAGCTCATACTCCTGCAGCATCTTGTCTAAAGTCTGATGCTGCTTCTTGACTTCTCGGAACTCCTCTGGTGTTTCCCTCAGGGCCAGGTTGTAGAAGGCAAGCTTGTTCATCGGATCATTGATTCGATGCCTAGAGCACCGAGCCCAATAGATGGCGCCGGCTGCAGGTGGTAGATTGGAAAAAATGGGCGCATCGTCGTAGCATTGATCCACTTTGTCCTTTGCTTCGACAAAGCCCGTTTCCACAGAAGTGAGATCTTGCTCCACTTGGTGCAACAGCATTTTATGTTTTTTCTCCAGCTCAGCTTGAATGATTGGACGCTCCAGCAGCCCCTCAAAAATGTCAAACAGCTTGACTCGCATGCTGATGGTGTCCAAGTCGTCAAATGCTGATGCAAGAAGGCTGCCCAAACGACGGTCCAAATCCTTCACTGTCATGCGGAACTTGAAGTAGTCATGCTCAAACTGCACCTCACCAACATCCATGATGTCATAGGAAACACTCTTGAAGGTCTCCACACACTTCATGAACTCTTCCCGGATGGCAACCACGCAGTCCGAAAGAACCTGGCGTGAAATAGGAGTTGTTTCGTGTCCCCGCTCTGCAACTCTATAAGGCCACTGATCAATTGCAGTGTTATTATATCTAGTGAGTGTGTATATTGGGTTGTTATTACTCCATGGAGATGCGATAATTTACCATGAGTTATGTACTGCAACTTAATACTGCAGCTAGTCCCACTTCCAGACTCAGAAGACTCAACAAATCTCAACAAATGGCGCCTTGCCCTTGGTGCCACCGATCTCCACCCGTTCCAGCTTGGAGAATTGGATCACGGTGCGTGTGAAGTCCAAGGCATCACGACAACGGTCCCGGAAGGAGTCCAAGCGAACGAACAGGGCGTCGTTCTTCATCTTCCAACCTGCAGCGGGACTGCTGCGTTTGAGGATCCGTGGGCTGCCAATTCTTTTTCGAGTATTTCTGGCTTTTCTGGCTATCAGCTGTCAGCTCTCAAGTTTTGCGGGCAGAATGTGTTCAAGCCACAAGTTGAGTCAGGGTGTGTGGTAAAGCATCCTGGCTGATATAGTGAAGCCATGGTAGGTGATAATGTAAGTGTATATCAGTGTATCCAACAGTCATGGGGGCATGAGAGCATTTTGCGTAATATAACCCACCTTCGAACCTGCAATAGCTCATAATAAGGCATGGCTCATGGCACTCAACTGTTGCTCAAATCACCTCATACACCCATACCATGAGCGCCCCTCGCCTGTACCATCCTGGTTTGCCGCGATGTCACGGAAGAGCAAATAGCAATCCTGTAGCAGGGAGGGCTCCGGAAAAAATGAAGACACAAAGAGTCTCTGTGAAGCTACTGCCTCTTGCGTGGAGAAAGAAAGGGCTTTGTCACGCCGTTGCTGGTGATAGAATCGTATACCTTTTGGCTTTTCTCCCTTACTTTTTTGCCTTTGAGTTATGATTTTGACACCAAACTCCCAAAAATCAATGTTGTATAATAACTAACTAGCCAGTGGGTGGTTGGGGCGCATTAGAACCCCTTCACGGCAGCCTTGAAGGCAGTGCAAATGCGAAAGGTGTTCTCCAACTTGGCGTAGCACTCCACCGTTTCCTCCGAGGAGATCATGGTAAAAATGTCGCCGCCGTTGATGTATCGCACAGCTTGGGCAATGATGGAGTTACAAATCTCTCGAATCAGAACCTCAGCAAGGGAGGACACAAAATAACCGCAACAGTCCCACTCACCCCCTCTCTGGCCACCTAGGTCAGTTTAACTTGAACGCACCACCTTTCTCTATTGCATGCCCTAGCAACAGCCATGCGAGTAGGGGTAGTGTAGAATTTGGAATAGCGCCAGATGAGCAAAATATTGTGCAGGATGGGCTCAAACAACTGCTCAAGCTGTTCAAAGTCAGCGCTGTCGCTGGTCAACTTGTCGATGGACTTCGTCAAGCTGGCTAGGAATTTGACGTTGTCGTTGGCCTCTTCTCGAGCTTCCTCCACCTCCTTCTGGAGCTTGGAGAACGGCGCAGTGTAGGTGCTCTTGTTTGTTTCCAAGAACTTCAGCACCTTCTTGAGCGCGTCCATTCCCAGCTGAGAGTGGATGGAGTTCAAATTGGCGGCCTTGCTGCGCCAGAATTTCAACTCAGCACTTGGCTCTGGATTTTTGCCATCCTTAAGCAGGACCTCCGGATCTTGCTTCAGAACGTGCCTGATCTGCTTGGTCCAGGTAATCACGGCTCCTTCCAGCACGTGAACCTTGTCCTTACCTCCAGAGGATCCGGCACCGCCACCAGCAGCTGCCATGCCACCGCTGGTCGGCAAGGCATCTCTAGGAGGGTGAGGTAGCCATGTGTGGCCTTTCATCAGGCCCACAGTCACGTGCAAGCTTGCAAGGAAGACATGGTACTTGTCCATGAGGTCTTTGGCAATCAGATCTGACCAACCGGCCTGGTTTGCAGGGTTGGTCAGGGTAGAAAGGTACACCGACTGACAATACATGTTCAGCAGGTCCATGACATTTTTGGTCATCTCCATCAAAATGACCGATTCGGCTAAGTTCTCTTTGGAAATCTGAACTTCTGGACTTGATCTGTGCATTGCAACCACCTTCTTTCTCATTTGCTGAGCTGACGGAAGGTCTATTGTGCAGGACACAGATTCGCTGGTAGGGGCAAAGTAGCATGCAGGACATTCTGGATCATCCATGAAACGCGCGATTGCTCTGGCGGAGGTCTCTTCGGTGGTGAAACCACTCAGAAACTTGTCGGCTTTTTCAGCCCTGACGCCCAGCAGCACCATTAGCCGGTTGAGTGTCCATAGTGTACGTGCCTCCACGCCCTTGGCGGCACCTTCCCCCGCCTCAGCCATTGGTAAAAAAGACTCTACACCTCTGGATCTGGCAGAGCTGCTTTAGCTCCCCCTGAGCCAACTGCAACGCGGAGCGCTCACGTGTTGGTGCGTTGTTCCGTGCGGGGTACTAAGTTCCACCGAGTTGTTTTCAAAAAAGATGTCTGCCAAATGAATGCGCCTACCATTGTTTGCTGTTATACACATGTGTGCAAATGGCGGACTCATGCCTTCTTCCCAGCTGCGCAAGTCCAGTAGCAAAGCTGCAACTTTCAAGATCAACAACTTAGACAAGCAAGTGGGGGGCTGTGTTCAAAGTGAAATTGCCTTTGGAAACCAAGTTTCAATGCATTGTAGGTGATCAAGTTGGGCTGGACCTTGGCAGCCCGCATCTCCTCTAACTTGCTCTCAGCCTGCCATGTCTGCCATGTCAGCCATGCCATCTTCGTATTGGAACCAATCATGGTATACTCTTAGAAAACCACACAATGTATACCAGTCAAACAATGCACTACAGTACTCCAGCCCTACACATGATTCGCACTGAGTCACAGACACACTTACCAATCAACCAACACAACGAAGGAACATCCCCTAGAATCGAAGCCTCCTGCATCTTCCCGCTCCGGGCACGAGCGCCAATGGCGGCATTGTACACATCAATGCCAGTCGCTCCTCATGTGGCAAGAGAATGTGTACCGCAACCGTGTGCAAATATGTGTATTTGCCATAAATATGTATATATATATAATTTTGAATAAATAAATATATATATAATATATAATAAATAAGAAATAATATAATATAATATAACAATATATATATATATTGTTATATTAGTATATTAAGAATTTGAGTGTGTAATATATTAACTATTTAACAACGATTACATATAATCATATAATATTTTTTATGTATCATCTATATTATATATAAAATATTTTACATTAAATATTATATATATATATAATAAATATCAAATATTACATATGATATATTAAACATTAAATATTATATACATATATCTTTTGTATATTGTATATATAAATAAATATATTACATTAATTATTTAAATATACTATACATATTCTACATAATATATATATTATACATTATCTATAAAATATATTTATAAAATACATATTATATAATATATAAAATTTATAATTATAATATATATATATGATAATATTATATATATTATGTATATTAAAAAAATATATATATATATATAATATCTTAAATATATTTTTTACATATGATATATATATATTACATTTTTTGTGCGTCATATATATCATATCATATGATATATATGACACACACAAAAATATTATATATATATTATAAACATACATCACACACGTAAAAATTGTATAATATTATATATATAATAGATGTTATGTACATAAATATTATCAAAGGAAGTTGGGAAGCAATACTTCCGTGTTACGGACAAATAGAATTCTGCGACTTGAAATGATGCAGGGTGGTAGATCACATAACAATACATAACATAACAATACATAACAAAAGAATAAGAAGCAGTGGAATTGACTTTGATGAAGGGTGGTGATAAGTGGTGACGAAGGGAAGTGGTGACGAAGGGAAGTGGTGACGAAGGGAAGTGGTGACGATGGGAAGTGGTGACGAAGGGAAGTGGTGACGAAGGGAAGTGGTGACGATGGGAAGTGGTGACGAAGGGAAGTGATGATGAAGGGGAATGGTGAGGAAGGGAGGTGGGGACGATGGGAAGTGGTGAGGAAGGGAAGTGGTGACGAAGGGAAGTGGACGAAGCGAGGTGGTGACGATGGGAAGTGGTGACGATGGGAAGCGGTGAGGAAGGGAAGTGGTGAGTTGGGGAGGAAGCCGGAGCACGAAACCTTGTGTTTTTCCGTGTAAAGTGGCTGCAGCCGGCGATGAAAGGTACCTCGTGTGTGCGGCGGTTGCGGCTGCGGTCGTTTGGTTCCTTCTATGTGTTTTGCAACAATGATGGTTCCTGTGTGTGTAGTTCTATGCGTTTCTTGAAGTTGTGGTTGCAGATCTTATTGGAGTGGCTGCATGAATGTTGCATGGGCTATGTTGTGGGGAGGAAGCCGGAGCACGAAACCTTGCGTTTTTCCGTGTAAAGTGGCTGCAGCTGGCGATGAAAGGTACCTCGTTTGTGCGACGGGTGCGGCTGCGGTCGTTTTGTGCGCGAATTGTTCCTCCTATGTGTTTTGCAACGAGTGGTTGTGTCTGTGTGCGTAGTTCTATGCGGTTCTTGAATCTCATGGTTGCAGATTGCATTGGAATGGCTGCTTCATTGTCGTCATTTGATGTTGCCACGTGCGTAGATAGGTGCGGGTTTGCCACGGGATGTTGCGAAACGCATTGTAATGGCTGCATGAATGTTGCATGGGCTATGTTTTGGGGAGGAAGCCGGAGCACGAAACCTTGTGTTTTTCCGTGTAAAGTGGCTGCAGCCGGCGATGAAAGGTACCTCGTGTGTGCGGCGGTTGTGGCTGCGGTCGTTTCATGCGCGAATTGGTTCCTCCTATGTGTTTTGCAACGAGTGGTTGTGTCTGTGTGCGTAGTTCTATGCGGTTCTTGAATCTCTGGTTGCAGATTGCATTGGAATGGCTGCTTGATTGTCGTCATCTGATGTTGCCACGTGCGTAGATAGGTGCAGGTTTGCCACGGGATGCTGGAAAACGCATTGTAATGGCTGCATGAATGTTGCATGGGCTTTGTTTTGGGGAGGAAGTCGGAGCACGAAACCTTGTGTTTTTTCCGTGTAAAGTGGCTGCAGCCGACGATGAAAGGTACCTCGTCTGTGCGACGGGTGCGGCTGCGGTCGTTTTGTGCGCGAATTGTTCCTCCTATGTGTTTTGCAACGAGTCGTTGTGTCTGTGTGCGTAGTTCTATGCGGTTCTTGAATCTCTGGTTGCAAATTGCATTGGAATGGCTACTTCATTGTCGTCATTTGATGTTGCCACGTGCGTAGATAGGTGCGGGTTTGCCACGGGATGCTGCGAAACGCATTGTAATGGCTGCATGAATGTTGCATGGGCTATGTTTTGGGGAGGAAAGCGGAGCACGAAACCTTGCGTTTTTCCGTGTAAAGTGGCTGCAGGCGACGATGAAAGGTACCTCGTGTGTGCGACGGGTGCGGCTGCGGTCGTTTTGTGCGCGAATTGTTCCTCCTATGTGTTTTGCAACGAGTGGTTGTGTCTGTGTGCGTAGTTCCATGCGGTTCTTCAATCTCTGGTTGCAGATTGCATTGGTATGGCTGCTTCATTGTCGTCATTTGATGTTGCCACGTCCGTAGATAGGTGCAGGTTTGCTACGGGATGCTGCGAAACGCAGTGTAGTGGCTGCGTCAAGGTTGCTCGGTGCTGCGGCTGCATGCGTAATACTATTGTCTTTTGCAGCTGAAGATCGTAAATCGTATTGGAATGGCTGCATCAAGGCTGCGAAAGTGATTTGTCAGCAGATTTTCTCAATTTTGGCGCTAATAATTTTCCTTTTAAAATTCCTTTTAAAAAGTGCTTCAAAATCGTCTTTTTGTCGCTTTGGCGTCGAGATCCGGTTTTGGAGCTGCAATTTCCGACGCCATTGCACGTAGTTCTATTGTGTTTTGCAACTCAGTCTCTGCAGATCGCATTGTAGTGGCTGCGTCAAGGTTGCTTGGTGCAGCGGCTGCATGCGTAATACTATTGTCTTTTGCAGCTGAAGATCGTAAATCGTATTGGAATGGCTGCATCAAGGCTGCGAAAGTGATTTGTCAGCAGATTTTCTCAATTTTGGCGCTAATAATTTTCCTTTTAAAATTCCTTTTAAAAAGTGCTTCAAAATCGTCTTTTTGTCGCTTTGGCGTCGAGATCCAGTTTTGGAGCTGCAATTCCTGTTGTGATTATGTACAAGAAAGCTTCTCTGTGCAATTTTTTTTCTGTAAAAGCTTGCTGTGTGTAAATGCTTCTCCGTGTGTAAAAGCGTCTCTGTGTAAAAGTTTCTGTGTGTGTAAACGCTTGCCATGTGTAAAAGCACTGTGCGTAAGTGTTCTGTGTGTAAACGCTTGCTGTGTGTGAAAGCTTGCTGTGTGTAAAAGCTTCTCTGTGTAAAAGCTTGTTGTGTGTAAAAGCTTCTCTGTTTAAAAAGCTCGCTGTGTGTGTGTAAACGCTTCCCATGTGTAAAAGCACTGTGTGTAAGTGTTCTGTGTGTAAACGCTTGCTGTGTGTGAAAGCTTGCTGTGTGTAAAAGCTTCTCTGTGAAGAAGCTTGCTGTGTGTGAAAGCTTGCTGTGTAAAGCTTCTCTGTAAAAGCTTGTTGTGTGTAAACGCTTGCCATGTGTAAAAGCACTGTGTGTAAGTGTTCTGTGTGTAAACGCTTGCTGTGTTTGAAAGCTTGCTGTGTGAAAAAGGTTTTGCGTGTAAAAGCTTGCTGTGTGTAAAAGCCTCTCTGTGTGTAAAAGCGTCTCTGTGCAAAAGTTTCTGTGTGTGTAAACGCTTGCCGTGTGTAAAAGCACTGTGCGTAAGTGCTTTGTGTGTAAACGCTTGCCGTGTGTGAAACCTTCTCTGTGAAGAAGCTTGTTGTGTGTAAAAGCTTCTGTGTGTAAAAGCTTCTCTGCTTGAAAAGCTTGCTGTGTGTAAAAGCTTCTCTGCGAAAGAACTTGATGTGTGTAGAAGCTTTGTAGTACAAAGTAGTACTGGAACGTGTTTTGTGCAAGCTTTGTAGTACAAAGTAGTACTGGGAAGTAGTTTGTGCAAGCTTTGTAGTACAAAGTAGTACTGGGGAGTGCTTTGTGCAAGCTTTGTAGTACAAAGTAGTACTGGGAAGTGTTTTCTGCAAGCTTTGTAGTACAAAGTAGTACTGGGAAGTGGTTTTTGCAAGCTTTTGTAGTAGACATCAGTACTGGGAAGTACTTGACATAAAAATAGCCAAGAAGAACTTAGCTGACATATGGGAAGACATGGAATAAGATGAGAAGAGCTCAGATGAGATGAGTTGAGATGAAGTGTAAGTGTGAAGTGTGGAGTGTGGGGTGTGAAGAGTGCAATGTGAAGTGTGAGGAAAGTGTTTGCATTGTACCGAGGTCGCGCGCAGGTCATGTTCTTGGACAGCAACACTGCAACAGCTTCGCACAAAGCACGCACGCACGGGCCTGGCTGGCGCACGGCGCATGCAAGTTCCTTAGTAGTAGTACTGGGAAGTGATTCATGAAAGCTTAGGTGACATATGAGAAGAGATGAGATGAGAAGAGATGAGCTGGGATAAGGTGAGAAGAGCAAAGATGAGATGAAGTGTGGAGTGTGAAGAGTGCAGTGTGAAGTGTGGGGCGTGAAGAGTGCAGTGTGAAGTGTGGAAGTGTGGAAGTGTGAAGTGTGGAGTGTGAAGTGTGAAGTGTGGAGTGTGCAGTGGGAAGCGTGCAGTGAAGTGTGAAGTGTGGATTGGGAAGAGTGCAGTGTGAAGTGAGAAGTGTGGAGTGTGAAGTGTGAACTGTGCAGTGTGGAGTGTGAAGAGTGCAGTGAGAAGTGTGAAGGGCGAAGTGGAGCTTCAAATGTGACATGTGAAACAGGACACCACTTTCGCAGAGTGCACGCACGCACCGGCTTGGCTGGCGCACGGCGCATGCAAGTTCTATAGATGAGAAAAGTCTTATATATATATATCTTTAAGGCAACTTCCGCCCCGCCTCGTGCGGGTACTACTGGTATATATATATATATATACTTTATATATATATATATCATATATTATGTTTATTATACATGTATATTGTTGTATATATATATATGTACTATTTAATATATGTATTATGTGTTTTATATTTTTTTAAAAAATATATATATATATAATCTATATGAATATTAAATATGTGGTAAATAATGTATGATAAATATTCAAAATATTTTACATATTGAATATATTATATATATAATAAGTTATATATTTTCAATATTATATATATATTGTATATATAAAATATTCTGTATCATATTTAAAATATTTATTTATTTATATATATATATTGTTCTATATATATATATATGTATATAGCAGTTGTACAGTACAGGTCCTGACTGCTGAAACCCCAACTAGCTGATTCGCGGCGTACAGCCACCTCCTTGCATTTCCCACCATCCGTGGCGAGCTTCTCTGGGGATGCTGCCGCAATCCCTCAACCCATGCCTTGGAGCATCGAAGAGCAACAAGAAACTGCCCGCACATTTCAAACATCCTAAAACTATTTAGGGTAAAGAAAGCAACTGGTATCACCCCTACCAGCCCCTACCACGCTTCAGGTTGCCAGAAAAAAAAGCCGCAGCTGACCCATCTCCACCAGTCCCAGCACCGAGCCACGGCCGTCGCGGGGTCGCCGCTCTTAGAACAGGCCGCCACGCAGGCAGCGATGGTCTCCTCCGAGGGTTGCATCTGCATCTCCACCATCTGCACGCCGTGGGCTGGATGGGCTGGTGGCTTGTGAATGTTGACAAAGACGTTCAAAACAAAGAAGTCAAGAGCTAGGATCGGAAGAAGCAAGCTCAAGGCACCCAAAACGCGAGGTTCTTGAGCAAGCAAAAAGCTCAGATAACTGGAGGCTGCTGCACCAAGATTCCAAGACATCGCAAAAATCCGCTTAGAATCACTTTCAGCAGCAAGTCCCAGCCCTCCACCTGGCGCAGCCACTGTGCAGCCTTCTGAGTTTCACCTTGTCTCGCCCAAGCGCTGGCCAACAAGCCCCAAGTTTCTTCTTGAGGGGAAAGACCTTGGCATAGCAAGCCACGTGGTCACAAGCAAAACAAAGAGTTGGCTTCAGCTCCCCAGAATTCCCATAAACTGACCACGTATCCATCAAATGCCAAAGGAATGATCTTTCAAACTCATCAAAATCCCTCCTTGAGGTCCCGTTCTGCAAAGGAAAAAAGGCACACCCACCAGCAGAATCCCTCTCCGCCTGCTGCCAAGAGTTTTTCGAAACACCGCTGGGCATCCAGTGCTTTGCCCATGCGCGCGTAGCCAGCAGCCAGCGCCGACAGCGCAACACCATCGGTGGCCACACTTTCTAACCACTGCTCTGCTTCTTCTGGGCGTCCAGCCTCCATGGCCAGGGATGGGCGACATTGGGGAGCCCGCTGCACGACCTATACCCGCCTTGGCAAAGGAATCCAAGACGGAGGTCTGGCCTATGGCATCCACTGCCAATCCTTCACGGCGAACCATATGGAAATTCACTAAGGCTGTTAGGTGCTCTTGGCAAAACAAACCGGTTTGTCGGTGGATTTGGCTCACTGCGCGCCGTTTACACAGACTACCTGCATGCGAAAGATAAACCACAAAATGTTTCGCTGCTGACAGGGCCAAATCGATTTTTGTTTACACCCTTGCACTCCTTCTAATGGCCTCATTTTATGTTTTTCAACCTCGTTCTTTGTAAGGATCCAGAATCTTGTTGGTCACAACAATTGCTGCTGTCACCAGCGCTCCATGCTGTTGGGACAGCTGCAGGAATCGCACGGCTTCCTCTGGTTGCCGCGCTTCTGCCGCACACCTGAGAAGGCAACAGCTTTTGGCCTCTTGACCATAGATTGGGACATCCAGGGTTGCTCATGTTTATATTAAAAAAAAGATGTTCAACATGCATGTACACGCATTGCATACACATAAAAAACACCTAGGCAAATAGATACGTAGCTAGGTAGATATGTACAGTAGATAGGTAGCTAGGTCGATATATGTATATATATTTGTTTATTTAAACTTATGTTTTTTATATTTATATCAGATAGAGAGATAGAGAGATAGAGGGATAGAGGGATAGAGGGATAGAGAGACAGAGAGGTAGAGAGAGAGAGAGAGGTGGATAGATCGATCGATCAATCGATCGATCGATAGATAGATAGATAGTTAGATAGATAGATAAATAGTTAGATAGACAGATAGATGGATGGATAGATAGATAGGTAGATAGCTAGACAGATAGCTAGACAGATAAATAGACAGATAGATAGATAGATAGTACTGTAGATAGATAGACAGACAGATAGATAGATAGGTAGATAGGATAGATAGGTAGATGGACGGATAGATAGATGGAGGGATGGATAGATAGACAGACAGATAGATAGACAGACAGATAGATAGATAGGATAGGAAAAGATAGCATAGGACAGGACAGGATAGGATAGGATAGGATGAGACCAGATAAGATCTGATCAGGTAAGACCAGATCAGATAAGGTAAGATCAGACAAGACGAGATTATTTAGATCAGATTAGACTAGAATAGAACAGAATAGGGTAGAGTAGAAAAGAACAGAGCAGAACTTAATAGAATAGAACGAGAATAGAAGAGAATAGAAGAGAACAGAAGAGAAGAGAAGAGAAGAGAATGATACAAGAGAAGAGAAGAGAATAGAATAGAAAAGAATAGAACAGAATAGAATGGAATAGTGAGTAGGGTAGAGTAGAGTAGAGTAGAGTAGGGCAGGGTAGAGCAGAGCAGGGAGAGTAGAATATGGAGTGGAATGGGTTGGAATGGAATGGCACGGAAAAGAAAAGAATAGAATAGAATGATAGGTAGATAGGTCGATAGATGGATAGCTGGATGGATAGATCGGTAAATAGGCGGGTAGATAGGTATATAGATAAAAAGAGCGATAAATAGATAGATAGGTAGATTGATAGGTAGACAGGTGGATACGTAAACTAAATTAGATTGGAATAGATGAAGTTAGATTACGTTAGAGTAGAACAGATTAGATTAGATTACATTGGGACAGATTCAAGTAGAGTAGAGCATATAGAGTATAAAGAGTATGTAGGGTATGTAGAGTATATAGCGTATATAGAATAGAGAATATAGAGTATACAGAGAGTATAGGGATGGAGCCGACTAGTAGATTAGAACAGATTAGAATGGATTAGGTTAGACTAGATTAGACTAGGTTAGACTAGATTAGCTACATAGATGGATATAAGATAGGCACAAAATCTTCTGGAGATCCCGGCGAAATCCTCTCTAAAAGATCCTTGCATGATCTTGCACAAGGCTTGTCAAAAGAACTTCTTGGCGATTCTTGTCAGATCCTCTCTAAAAGGTCCGGGCATGGAGATCTTGCAGATGCCATGTGTTGGAAGTTCTCGTGTAGAAACTCTTCTGGGATGCTCTTGGGAGGCTCTTGTCTCAAGATCTTGTAAGATCCCCTCCAGCAGCAGCAGGTCCTTTTTTTGACAATCTTGTGAACTTCGTTCAGGGGCCCTGACGCGAGGATGTTGGTCAAGGTCCTTTACCATTCCTTGCAAGAAGATCTTGTCAAGATCGTGGTGAATCCTCTGCGGTGTCCTTGCATGATCTTGTCCACCTCCTTGTCGAAAAAAGAACCCTCCTCACAAAACCCTTGCATGCTCTTGTACAGATCCTTATGGGAAGATCTTGTAGGGATCCTGGTGAAATCCTCTAAGAGGTCCTGGCATGATCTTGTACAGGCCCTTGTCAAAAGATCTGGTGGAGATCCTGTTGAAATCCTCCTAAATCCTTTTGAAGGTCCTTTTCGATGATCTATTGAAATTCTCCTCGGTGTCCTGGCATGCGGTTCTGGCATGAGGTCCTGATGACTAGACTGGCGTTGCTTCTTATGCCACAACAAGTTCCTGCTGCTGCAGTTGCGACAATGTCTGACCTGATCTGTTACTGCTACATAGCTACTGTTGCTTGTATCTGGCACATTGGTTTCCTACCCCCACACTGTTTGGTCTTGCCAGTGCGATCACTCTTCATTTTTCGTGGCGCGTGCAATTGTGAAAATCTAGCATGTGCTCGTGCAGCCCTCTCGCAACTTTGTGCATGTCGGATCGCATAATCGTGGCGGAGTGCGAATTTTGATATCGCGCGCCGCTCGCGCAACCCTCTCGGCACTTTGTGCGTGTCAGATCGCTCTAGTTGTGGACCAGTGCGAATTTTGATGTTCCTTATGGGAAGATGTTGTGAAGATCCTGATGATATCTTGTCAGAGGTCCTTGCATGAACTTGAACAGGCCCTTATCATAAGATCTTGTGAAGATCCTGCTGACATCCTTGAAGCGTCCTTGCATTGTCTTGCGCAAGTCCTTACGAGAAGATCTTGTGGACATCTTGGCGCAGTCCTCTCTAAGAGGTCCAGGCACGATCTTGCACAAGACTTGTCAAAAAATCTTGTGGCGATCCTGGCAAGATTCTCTCTAAAAGGTCCTATTGGAGGTGTATTAGAGGTGCTTGTGCGAAAGCTCTTCTAGGTTCTTGTCGCAAGATCTTGCAAAATCCTCTCCAGCAGCAGCAGGTCCTTTTATGACGATCTTGTGAAATTCGTTTCGGGGCCTTGACGCGAAGATCTTACCAGGGTCTCTACAAGATCTTCTCACAAAGAAAGTGTGAAAGACCTGGAGGAATCCTCTAAGGGGTCTTTGCAGCGCATCCCCTTGCGCAGGTCCTTGTGCGGGGGTCTTGGAAGATCTTGCTGAAATGGTAGTCAAATGCTGCCAGAGGCCTTAGCATGATCTTGCACAGGTCCGTTTTAGAGGATCTTGATTAGGTCCTGGTGAAATCCTCCAGGTGTCCTTGCATGATCTCGTACAGGTCCTTGTGAAAAGATCTTATGAAGGTCCTATTCAACTCCTCCTGAAAAGGTCCTTGCATTGAGGTCTTGAAGATGCTCTCTGCGTGGGTGTTTGTATGAAAGTTCGTCTGGGATGCTCATAGGATGTCCTTGAAGATCTTCTAAGATCCTCTATGTAGAAAATCTTTCTTTCGACGATATCTTGAAATTCCTTTAGACTGCTGAGTAGACATAGCGTTGATTCTTGTGCCACAACAAGTTCCTGCTACAGTTACGATAATGTCCAACCTGATCTGTTACTGTTCCATAGCTTCTGTTGCTTGTATCTGCTACATTGACTTTCTACCCCCGACACTGTTTGGGGCCTCTTGACGGTATAATTTGTATGTGCGCTTGGGATGCAGAAATGACGCAAAAATTCGAACATTCATAAGATGTGCTTGGAAAAAAAGTTTTCTTGGATCTTTTCTCCCTTTTGCATGTTCTCCTTTTTGGAATTTTCAAATTGTCTGGTGTGTATTCTCTTTCTTGCCCTTTGGCCAAGACAATCGATTGCAAGTATATGCACGCATGGAGGAGGCAATTTAAAAAATACAGTAGTACAAAAACCCAAACGAACATGACCATAAGACAAATGTAAGATGTACTAACAGTATCTAACAGTATCTAAGAGTATCGCGGTTTAAAGCATGTTCTAAGTCGATCTGCAAGGCCTGATGAGCTTGCCGAAGGTCCGCGAGTTCACCGCCACGCGACATCCTTGCATGGCCTCAGCCATAAACGGGCTGCTTCATAGTGGCGGTCCAGTTGAAAATCCACCAAAAGTCATCCTAAAACCATCCGAAAACCATTCCAAATCATCCAAAAATCCATGAAAATCATCCAAAATTCACCAACTTCTGGCACAAATTGTGTTATTGCCAATGCTTTCTGCATGTCTTTCCTCCAATTGCAACAGTACCCCATTATTTCCATCCCATTTTTGTCACCCTCCTTTGCGACGGGATGAGTTGCAGCAAAGTGGGCACTCGCACCATGCAGGTCGCCTGCGATGGCATGTGCCTGAAAGATAGGAATTGCCATGGATTTTCCATGATGTTTCAACTCCATCTTTGTTTACTGCAGGGATCTGGGTATCATATGTTGAAATTTGACACCAACTAAATCCCACAAACCATTCGCCTTGAGCATAGTATTCCACACCACTGTCTGGAGACGCGCAGGCGCAGACTGCAAGTCATTGAAAACCTCCCTCGCAGCAGCTACATTGCCCGCCTGGGACGGCAGGATGTTGCTATCCGAAAACAAGTTCAGGTGCACTTCTTTGATCAAGTGAAAAACATCCACGAATTCGCCTTGGCACCTCACGTGCCCCAGGCCTTCGCAAAAGCATTCAGATCACTGAGGCGGCGCGGTGGCACCATGGGTGCGTCACCAAGGTCATGTTGCAGAACTGCTGGATGCTATCAAGCCACCATTAGAATGAATAATGAATGCCTAAATAAAAATTGCTGGGTCACACCCCAAGGTGCATGTAATGTTGTAAGGGTGAAGGATAAGATTGGGAGAAAAAAATACAGTATCTATTTGTCTTGAAACATTCTGGTATCACCAAGGAGTCTCAATCTATACATAATCCGTGTAACATGTTGTAAGTGTCAAATGGTCCCAATGATCCTACACTTGAGCTGCCATGAGCCTGGCAGGTTCAGCACCCTGAGAATAGAAAGCTCACGCCCCAAGTATGAAGAAAGATCCAATTGGTTGCTGCCGGTGTCTTGAATTTAGACCACGTTTGAGCAAGAAAAGACTTGCTGGTCAAGAATCTTCCTTCCTGACCTTTGCTGGTCAAGAATCCTACCCACCGATTATCATTTACCCCACATGCCTGGGTTCAATTTCCTACTTCCTGTTGGCATGACCACCAAGGCACTTCCCCAAGCCCCAAGGCCCGGGCCAAGCCATTCTGACTCCTGGTGCCAAGGACATGGTCAAACTCCGCATAGTGCCATGAAGGCCATCCATCTGTTTGGGAGCCTCTCTTAATCTAGAAACCCTTCCAGGCAAAACTGAGACGCGGATGGAAAAGACGTGGGCTTCTCAAAGACTACCATATTTGATGTTCACCTGGCGCGACCCGAAAGACTGAGCAAAGGCAGCAAAGGATTCAGGTAAAGTTGGCCTTGCTCTTGTGCTAAATTAGATTCGCTCAAACCATCGTGTTGGTGGGGGCGTTACTAATGTTGACCATCAGAAGGCGATGTGAATCAAATACGCACACAAAGAGAAAGAGAGGGAGAGAGAGAGCGAGACAAAGACATAGACAGAGCCAGAGCGGGAACGAGAGAGTTTGTTTCGCTTTTTTGGGTGCTCCCGATGCCCACCATCCCAAATATCCCAATCTTAACAAAACGCCCTATATTCGCTTCTAACATACGTTGGGATGCCCAAAATCCACTTCGAAGCTTCGAAACTAATTTTCTGTCGCATGTCGCATGCAACCCGCACTCTGGACCAAGCCCTGACGGGTCGAATTTCTTCGCATGCACCGGCTGCTCATCCGGCTGCATAGTAAATGATGGTAAATGTAATTGCTGATGCAACAGTCACCATCCTTGTGTTTGTGGTGGTGATCCTAATGCACTCAACTCTGTTGTGAAGCTTCATATGAACTGCCAAAGTCAGAGAAATGAGGGAGAAAAAAAACATGTCGTCTTCAACTTGGTAAGTAAGCAGTCTGGTGTCCACCAGACTCAATGGCAGGCTGCAGCTGTGCAGTTGACCAGTCTGAGCAAACCGCCAGGTGAACAGGAAATTCTGCCTGCATTTTTTTGGAGTGTGCGTCAACATTGGTTTGAAGTCGCTTTACAACACAAACATGAGAGGTATTACGCATGGGTTCGGCTCCTGCAAAAACTCTGCATTTTTGTTCAATTCTAGTCCATTCACCCAGCAAATGCTTGAGCACAGTTCTTCCTTGGAAGCTATGGGAAACGGTGGTTTCAGCACTCGAAAACGCTTCGGAGCAATGAACAACTTTCGGGTATCAGCCTGGATAGCCTCTGGTAATCTCACGGCTTGGAAGCCGTCTGATCTCCATTTCTAAAAGATGTTTTGCCAGAGAATGTCCATTGCCAGGTTTGTTTACCCTTTGGCAGAGGCTAGACGGTAAAAGGGACATTAAGGAAACGAGTAAACGAATCACGGAATCCAAATCAACAAAAGTGCCACATCCGGATGCCCACTGTACTTTTAAAAATCCAGCTGCATTTCGGGAAATCATCAGCACCAACACCAGAAAAATCACCAAACATACCCTAATTCCGGCCGTTGATGGTTCATTGAGCTTTGTTTTTTTGATGTTAAACATTGATCACTTAAATTTTTTTAAGAGCCCATGTTTGATGATTTTGATGTGAACCCATCGCTGAAACCTTCTACTGATAAATCTCCACGTGAGCTCCCATGCTGGAGGAGCTACTGGGAGTGCTCCATGACCTGCACGCGCGTCCCTTGCTACCCAGTGGACCAACATGGACACACAATGGCGGTGTCAAAATCAGTCGAGAAAAATCCTGGAGAATATGAAAATGGTTGGTAAGTAGATGTTCATTTCCCGACGGATGGTATCATAGGCTTTTAAAACACATCCCCAAGTTTGTCCTTTTTGGTGTAAAGAAACCGGTTATTGCACGGTGCCAATAATTTTACTCCACTGGGATGTTCATCAACAAGAAATGGGGATATATACCTATCCATTCGTTATATCAGTTCCGATAGGAGATTGACCAACAAAACACAGGAGATTGACCAGCAAACATGTTGGTTTTCGGTTCCCCTTCCACGACCAACAGTCTCCGCAGAAATGCGACTATCTAAGCATGCAGCGTACTGTGAAATGTATATATATATAGATATATAGATGTGTGTGTGAGTGTACATAACACCATATGTATATATCTACAATGATTTCATAGAACTACCATATATTCATCTATAAGTCTATATATATATATATACCTATACATGGGTATGGTCCAGTCAAGAGCTTAATCCAGTGCTTCAGAACTTCTCATCGAAATCCTAGAATTGCAACTGCTGTGGAATGGACGGCTCTCGCTGGAAGCTCTTAACAGTCTTACCGTCACTATCCCTACATACAGACATACATACATACATACATTACATTACATTACATTACCTTACCTTACATTACATTGCATTACATTCCATTACATTACATGTGCATTTGCATTTACATTTACATTTACATTTACTTTACTTTACATACATACATCACATCACATCACATCACATCACATCACATCACATCACATACATACATACATACATACCTCTATGTATATATATATGTATACAATGACAGGAGGGGAAAAGAAAACATATATATATATATATACGTATATAACGTGTGTATATATATATATACACATGTATGTATCCATTTGTATCCTAGCCGCTAGCCTATGTGTGTCACCAACAAGAACAGGTACAAAACTATTCACTACTGTATGCATCCTGGAGGTTCAAAGTTCCAAAATTCTGTTTGAGAACTATAACTAATCCGACTATGCCACACAGGACCCAAAGGCATCTCGCAGGCACCCGTAGGAAGTTGGAGGTGATGCTACGGCGTCATCTTTGAACCTGAAGAAATGTACGTTCGAAAACGACTAAGCCGATGCCACTTCTATCGCAAGATTGAGCATTTTCTGATACACCTACAAATGCCCAAAATGCTTGGCCAACGGATTCAGGCGGATCACCAACTTCCGGATCCCAGATTTTTTTTGCAAGGTGGGCAGTGATCAGCTCGTTTTGTCTTGCTACGGTGCTACATGTGGCTGTCGACATCACTGGACCATAGTTTGGAAGTGTTCAACTCATGCAACACCGACAGCAAACTGATGCAGGAAAGAATCGAAAGGTCGCCCGGAACTTGAAGATGCTGAGTCTTCAGAACATCATTGGCGCAAACCTCAAGCACCCCGATGATTCGTGAAGTTTGTATAGTAAAGGAGTGAATGCTCGCTGGGGTATCTCCAACATACCTCAGTTTTTATTCCCTATCAGCATCATCATCCCGCTGGAGTTGTTGATCTTGATCAAGCGAGATGCTGAATCTGCTGGCCCAAATAATATGGTTGGAGCATATTTGGAGCCATATGATATTCCAACCATGGGGGTTGGAATATCATGTCTAAAGAACCCCCTTTCTCATCGTGGAGCCCAGCAACTCGCGCACGTCGGACTAAGCTGTTCTGCTCATCGGTGAGGGTGGCGCCTGGCCGCCCCATCCGTTGAGAACTATGATGCCAAAAAAAACTGGACTACAATAATACTACAGTATATTTACAGTAAATGTATGCCTGCCTGCCTGCCTGCCTGCCTGTCTGTCTGTCTGTCTGTCTGCCCGTCTGTCTGTCTGTATGTCTGTCTGTCTGTCTGCCGTCTGTCTGTCTGTATGTATGTACGTATGTATGCGTGTGTGGGTTTATAGGTCAGAAAGTTTGACACGTACTCATCTTGAATTATTTAGCCCAAAACAAGTGGACCAAGTAGAAAAATTCGTTAAGTCCTCAGATGGCCACTGTGTTTTTTTTCGGTTTTGTTGCTTAGGTCCTCTTCAACATTTCACACAGCAGTCGTCCTCAGCCCCCCGAGGCACCTCGCAGCGTTAGCGAGTTGCAATGCCTGGCGATGATCACCGCCTGACAAGGTGAGCACTGGGGGCTCCATGTCACAAGACAGTATATCTTCCAGTACACACTTCTGTGTATCTATATATATATATAAATATGTGTGTGTGTGTAATGTAATGTAACGTAACGTAATGCAAAGGTATGTATGTATGTATGTATGTATGTATGTATGTATGTCTGTCTGTCTGTCTGTCTGTATGTCTGTCTGTCTGTCTGTCTGTCTGTATGTATGTATGTATGTATGTATGTATGAGTGTATGAATGTATGTACGTATAAACGTATGAATGTATGAATGAATGAAGAAATGAATGTACGTACGTACGTATGTACGTATGTATGCAGATCTATTTATGTTGTGGGTGATTGATGTACAAATTTCCACATCTACAAGGCCGCACCAAGGCCGCCATTCAAATTTGGTCCGCCTTCACCATCTTCTTCCGGCCCTCCAGCTTCTCGAGCCACACCAGATCCTGCTGCAGGGTTCGCAGCCCATAGGGATCATCGCCTGTCAGCATCCCACCGTCCTCGTGGTTAGTAACTGGTAACCATAGTTGCAACCAAGTGATAAGTGGGAGAATCCCACTTAGGGAGCTAGGGAACTTATTCACCAAGGTTCTCTCTGAGTGACTAAGTGGGATGGTCCTTCAAGCAGTGGGGGCCACTCCAACACCCAAGTTCCGACTTGTTCCCATTGGAGCTATTGAGCTACTGTGTATCTCCAGTGTGCCTGATATCCTCCCGATCAGATCAAGCAATCGAAAACCATCATTTTTGATAAGAACATATTCCACAAATGGATATGAATATTGAGTGATCGTCATTGCGACGTACTGGAAGAAATAAACTACTTCTGACCCATATCCGCAATATTCACATAATGTATATATATATATACGGCAGGGGGAGGAGGTTCCCCGAGAGGACGTCAATCAGGATCATTGAATTGGAGAAAAAACAGTGTTTCACTGTGGTAAAATTGAGATTTTTCATGTCGTTCTTTTCATTGTTAATGTCTTTCAATTACGGATCAATTTTTTTTCGTCCGTCGAAGTTGAAGTCAATTATGGACCATCACAATATGTTTTTTTTTGGTGTTCTTATTTTCTCCATTGGAATTACGAGGTGCACATTTTGTGCTATATCAAAGATCATTGGAAAAGGGTATAATATACTGTGTTTCCACAGGTATTTTGATGTGACGTTGTTTTTCATTGGTAATTCACAGTGATTTTGCATATCATCAAAATTTCCGAGTGCTGTGAGTCAGCTGCTTTTTCTGTTTTTATACAAAAGCATTAGTACAAGACATATCAACCACTATAGAAGGCACAAACCAGGCTGCCGGCAACTTTTCATTGCCAACTCCTTGAAGCGCGCGAGTGCATTCAAGACACTTTCCAAACCAAGCTTTTTGCTTACATAGTGCACTGCTAGAATGTTGCGATGTTTACACCCCACCCCTTCACGCAAGTTACATGAACGTTTTTACACCCCACCTCTTCACGCAAGTTACATGAACGTTATTACACCCCACCCCACCCCAGCCCACCCCTTCCCCCCGCATGACTCATGCATGACAAGTACAAGAGAACTTACACTAGCGTAGCATGACGTATGCGTGACAAGTACAAGATAACTTACACTAGCGTAGCATGACGTAGACGTCACAATTACAAGCGAACTTACACTAGCGTAACATGGCATATGCCTGAGAACTACATAACATGACTTTAGAATGACCGTAACAGCCACGTAGCATGCACGTCGCCTCCAATTCTACGCAAGTTACATGCACGTTTTTACTCCCCACCCCACTCCACCCCACCCCACCCCTTCACGCAAGTTACATGAACGTTATTACCCCACCCTCACCCCACCCCACCCCACCCCTTCCCCCCCTCGGGGAACCCCCGCCCCCAAGGGTATATATATATATATGTGTGTGTGTATGTATGTACATATACTCTATATATATATATATACAGACATATCACACAAAGATAGATGGAACAATATGAAAATCTTTCGGACTTGATCCATATATGGTGTGTTTTCCATCATTTTCCCTTGATTTCGTGATTCGCATCTCACCAGGTGACGGAGGTCTTGGAGCATCTGCGCTGAGCGCTGAAAGGCCGACGCATAGGCACCGCTGATGGGCTGCTTCGTGCCCAGGATCGCCTAGCCGCTGCAGGTCGTCGGAAGATGGGGGGAAAGTGTCAATGAAGTCCCCAAAGTCCCAAAAGTTGATGCACAAAAAAAAAAAAGTTTTTTTTAACGCACTGGTCTTTTTTGTTTTGTTTAGACTTCTACTTGCTCAAGACCTCAAAGCAAATAATGTGAAGGATCTTCTTTTGATGGATTTTGGGGGGTCCCCACCGGTGGGATTTGATGCGGGTCGCCACATGGTCTAGTCCAGTGCAATGTGCTTGTATCAAAAGACACGTTCATGTCCGTGAAACATATGTTGCATCTGTATCTCCATGACACCAAGCAAGCATTTATCATAATTTACAGTATCACATCTACTGTCATCTACCGTATGTTCATGAGATATATTATATACTGCGACAGTGACACCTGCCCCACCAAACGAGCTCACCAAACGAGCCCTTCCTAGCCTCGATCCGGTGCAGGTCGTCCACTGCATACAGGGCCTTTTGTGGGCTGAGTGGAAGTTCCAGTGCCCGCCGGTTCCTTGGCTTGTGCAGCTTTAAAGCACTAGGTTCACAGTGTAACTGTGTGCACTGTGTGCACTGTGTGACTTGATCACTGATGCTTGGGGGCGTTTGGCGTGGCCGCCAAGCAGCTCGAAGTGAAACGCATCCCAATCGATCTGCGCCTGTAAGTTAGCAGAGTTGCAGCATGTTGCAGCCAAGTGTTGGATTTTTTGTTGTCGCTAGTGGTTTAAAATTCCTGCAATGTTTGCAACCTTTGCACTTGGTTGATCCATGTTGATCCAAAGCAGCAATGAACCTTTGTTCAAGCTATAAATCAGCAAAATCGTCACGGCAAATCAATGCAAATCTCCAGTCTCGGCCTGCTTTGTGGGAAGACCTTTTTGAATCTCTGCTGGCACAGACTCTAACATCTTGGCCATGCCAATGCGAACGCGGTCATCAAACGCAACCTGGCAAATATTGCGCGTTCAAGGTCGGTGGGGTGGATGTGCACAGAGTTTATGAGGAAGATGATGCATCTGCCTAACCAATCGACCATCAGAAGCCCTGTTTTGCCGCAATTCTCGAAAAGGCACGACTGCCAGGGAAAACCTTTGCCACGCCTATTTAAGCTACATTCGTACAAAAAGGTGCAATAAAAATATTAAAATATGGTTGCCTGTAGTTGTGTCTTAGGGTACACCTTGCAAATCCAGCCTGGTGAGATCATATCAGCTGACAAGTCTTGACTCACTCCAAACATCTGGGCACCTGGGCGTCGATGAGCATCTGCGGGTCCACACCGATGTGGACCTAACAACGCTCTGTGGATCGAACACGATCTAACAACGCTCTTTTCATCTGCACACAAATGGAGTCAGAAATGGGGTTGATCTCGCAGCGTGTGACTGTCAACACTTTTCAGTTGCATGGTGGAAAAGGCATTCAGTACAGTTGCATCGTGTCTACTGGGGTCAACACCGGTCTACGCTGGTACCTTGGTGTGACCACATAGCTTCCACCAACACAAGCTATCACAAACAGCAGTTTTGGGAACAGGAACTGCCAAACTGATCGCCTCCAAGCCAAAACACACACTCAGACCTCCTTTGCAAGTCATTCCACCAAACTCAGCTCTCTTGAGACATGGAAATAACTCGAACGTCTGGGAACAGACGTGCCTTCGAAACTCGTCAGGGATTGGTGCCAGGAGACATCAGGCATTGGCAGTCACCATTGGCGCCCCAAAGGACCTTCAAAATCCGAGAGCTCCCCATCACCTTCCACGGCGACACAAAAAGTTTCCAACTGCTCAGTTTGAGGAAGGAAAAAAGGGAAGACTTTTGATGCAGTCTTATCCTTGACCACATATGTATAAATATAGGTATAAAAATGTATATGTATATATGTATATATAATTGTGTATCTATCTAATTAATCTATTAATCTATCTATCTATCTATCTATCTATCTATCTATCTATCTATCTATCTATCTATCTATCTATCTATCTATCTATCTATCTATCTGTGTGTTGTGTGTGTGTGTGCGTGCATGCGTGTGCAGCGTACATGCATGCAACAGCCAATGAATACAATAAATCAGTGACAAACGTTGCGCTGCATTGCCTCCCGAATGACATCGATGCAGTTGGGGCAGCGGAGGTCAATCAAGAGGCCTGGAAATTCCAACCGCTCACCCTCTACGGTACTGATGTTGACCCCCGGGCTCGCTCGCAAATGCTTCGAAAATGTTCAAAACTTGGTGACCAAAAATGGTTGGTTTGCTTTAAAAAATCAGTCAAGAAACTCTGCTATGTCATCCCTGGCCTGGTGCTTGGAAGCTGTGTCCAGGTGCCAGCCGCCGCGGGATGAAGCTTGCGGGGTCCAGCACCTGACAGGGGAGTCATCCTGGCCATGGAAAATGAGGTGTTCCCACGATACACTCCAGCAAACTAACGCAAATATAGAAAAGCCGTGGTTTCCACATGTAGGAGTGAGTCGGATGTTCACCAATCAACAAAAGCGGGGATGTTGACCATCAAGGAGATGTGAACATAGTAAATAATATATATATATATATATGGTGCTGATGAATCAAGAAAAAATGTTTTCTTCAAGTCATCCCCACCCTGAAACACTATTCTGACATAGTTTCTGACATACCATTCTGGAAGTATATATGGCATATTCATTCTGACATTCTATCTGATATTCTTTCCGGTATATACAGGCATATACTTTGACATTCTATCTGAGATTTTATCTGGCATCTATTCTGACATACTTTCTGGCATATATTCTGGCATTCTTTCTGACATTCTGTCTGACATCTATTCTGGCATTCTATCTGGCATCTTTTCACGCTTTCATTCTGGCATTCTTTCTGGCATCTATTCTGACATTCTGTTTGACATTCTTTCCCGCATTCTATCTAGCATCTATTCTGACATTCTTTCTGGCATTCTATCTGACATTCTCTCTGGCGTCTGGCTGAGGTCCGGCAGCGCCCACTGAGATCTGGAGCTCGCGGTTGAGGTCCGGCAGTGCCCACCGCTGTCTGCAGCTCGCGGTTGAGGAGCTGGAAGACAAGGAGAAGGAGAAGGAGGACGGGATGTACCTCTGATAAGATCTAGAGACCCTCACCTGGCAAGTGGGGAACAACTCGATGTGGGGGTCAACAATCCACAAAGAACAGAAATGGGGAGACTTACACATTTACATGGGCATGAACTTCCCCTGTAACCTACAGTGGGGGAATGATCCCATCAATCCTGGTAAGACAACATGCATGCGGGTACAGCGAGTGCCAGCCACAAAACTGCCATCGCTCCAAACATGAATTTTGCAACCAAATGTGCCAAATGCAAAAGAGGGAACAAGCAAAAAAAAATCATGTCAATCCTGGACTTCCTTTGAAAAAACCCAGGTATAAATGTCAATCCTTGAATTCCTCCAAAAATAAACAAACGCCCCTGTTTTTGGGGACATCCCTGTGACATCCCTCACCTCCGTGAACTGCAGCTGGGCGATGCTGATTTCTCCTCCATGGCCTCTGGGCAAACTCGGGCACCAAACCAAACATGGACCAAGAAAAAAAAGAGGTTCACACAAAAAATATCAAAACATGCGGTGCTTCCTGCAATCTATTATATAGATGAATCAGGAGTGAAACCAAGAAACATAGGGATCTAAACCCACAACAAGAAGGACATAAACGGACACTAGATAGGAGATATCACCGTAATCACTAAAAGTGAGGAAGATCATGATCCATGATGGCAACCATGGATTTATCACGCTGTTGTCAAAGATGGAAATGGATTCCTCAGTTTGACCTCAGGAAAAACAGCAAAGAAAAAGGTCAAATCAAACGCGAAGGGTATCGACAATCTAAAAGATCTATATTATAATATAATATATATATATATATATATGTATGTATACAAATTGAGTCTGATAAACTGTCAAAGGCTTGTTAGATCCAGCGGGCCAAAGTTGAGCCCCAGCACCTGGCATTTCGCCTTCAAAGTCTGCCAAGAGCACTGCATTTTTCTCTTGGCAGGCATCCTGGCTCGGAGGTTCAGCAAGTCTGAGCAGTCTGAGCTTGGATTAGCTTGTCAGGTCTTCATTTCATCCCAGGTTCACAGGATGTATCATTCTGTATCATCTTTCATCTCCTTTTTCAGCCATTTCAATTTGGGTTCCTCCAATTTGTGAAACATGAGGCCAGAACCGACCACAAAAGGACTTGGCTTTGGGATGGTGTGGTTTTGTCTACAATGTGGGCCTGTGGGCAACCCAATAAATGAACCTACCATTTGGGGATTGCTTACACCACCCATCTATGGTGATTTGGGGAATGATGTATTATTGGGTTTACCACATTAGTGGACCCCTCTATATCCACTGCCTAATCATCATTTTCCCTATTGAACTGCTATACTTGGGGGGTTCATCCCCATTATCGTGAGGCAAGCAGCCACGAAGCGTGTCACCAAGCGTTTCAGGCGCTTGAACTCCTGGCTGTTCATGGTTGGTGAAGGGTTAAGGCAAACCCCTATACATGGGCTGCGCCAGTTCCTAAGCATTTGCTCAATTGAAAGCTCATCCCCCCAATTCTTGGACACAAACCAACGGATTTGAACCAAGCCCCGGCTCAACAATGCGTGTCAACGACCAGTTGGTATCATTTTTCCAATTGGTCGTTTTCCCAACCTTCGTATAGATAACGGTTATAGCTCCTTTTGGACAATTGCAGCAAAGTGGGGAATTGGCCAAGACAACGGAACAGAATGAAGTGGAAGACCCAACTAGTCCAACGCAATTGCAAACAATGTCGCCGCCTTCACCTACATCCTTCTGCTGCTCCCCGATGTACGTATATATATATATACACACGTCATGCGAGGAAACACTTGCCCAAATCCGGCCTCTGCCGTTGGTGCAGCCATGCCAGTCACCAATTGCGTCTCGGAGAGCACAAGGAATGGGCCTCAAGGCTCGAGATTCTCTCGGAGTTCATCTGCATTTCTCTTCGATCCATGTCTTTTTACCCCTACCATACTATCCATTAGCTTTGGGGAGCGACTACATCCCCCATGTTCGTTGGCCATGCTGTTTCTTGGCGGAGTTGCACCTTCTTGCGGCCACAGTAGCAGTTCAAAGAGCTCCGAAGTACAAAGGGCTCCAGGAAGCTCAACAGCTCTGGGGTTTCCTGTGAAAGCTCTGTTACAAACCAACCATCTCAGAATTCACTAGCTCAACTATGATTTTTGCCATACAAGCTAAGGAGTTCCTGCAAATGTTCCGTTCCCTTTCCACACTGTTGGGAACAGTGTTGCTCTCTCTCTCTCTCTCTCTGGGCTTAGCTCCAACGCGCCATCTCTATATCTCTCTCTCCTTATCGACCTACCTTTCTTTGTATCTCCCTAGCTATCTGTTATATCTGTTATATCTGTTATATCTATCTGTCCATATCTATCCCCTTTTTCTGTTGCTTTGACGCATCCTTTGCCGTTCCCACCTTCTCTCCGGCCATCTCCAGCCACTGCGAGAGGCCCTTTTGGGCACCCAGCACGGAGGGCTGCAGCGGCAGGTCCCGGAAGAGGCTCCCAGAGCCCAGCTTAGTGACCTACCCAGCGGCTACCCAGCGGCTACCCAGCGGCTACCCAGCGGCTACCGTGAGCCACGGATCTCACTGGATCTATTTTGGTGGAAAATACGAAGAAAATGTGTTGCAGAAGGCCAATGGTAAATCATAGTTCCTGTACATGTGTCCCTTCAAAGTCTTTAAACCAATTCTTTGGAAACTGGGTGACCCGATCCCTGCAAACGCACACAGACACACATACAGATACGCATACGCATACATATATCATTATATATACACCAACAAAAATGTTATTTGATTCGACAAAACTCTGACACGATCGCATGCAGCAGACATGACAAAATGAAGAAAACCAACACTCTGGGATAGAGGAATCAATGGGGTACAGCGAAGTCAAGCCGGGGAGCATTGGCTGCTCTGAACTTGCCTCGACCCTGGCAGTGGAAGCTGCAACAGGTTCATCCAAAAAAGCCATCCTGTTCTACCCAATAGCTGGCTACTGGGCCAACAAAAAGCTTTGCTACAAATCTGATTTACCAGTATGTGACAAGGAGACATAGACCATTAACAACAGGGTCCACTGGCTATTGGCCATCTGCTAGTTGAACGCTTAAACTGAAAGTCTCAGTTCAGATTTGGTTCAAGAGCCAAGCGTTGAGCTGGGTATGGTCCAAAATGTCTAGAGCTCATTAGAAGATCTGAGAAGCTGGGTCTTACAGGTCATCGCCTTAGGAAGTGACTTCCACACACCATCAGTCAACAATTTTTCCACCATTTGAGAACTGATTTGACAGGTTCGGCTGCAGCATTGGCCCAGCCTTGCCATCATCTAGCCTCAACAGGCTCCGTGAGACTTTTGTCAAGTGCAAGTCATATGCTCACATTACCTTCAACTTGAGGATTTTTAAGGATCTAATGATGCATGCGGGGTTCTTTGAGAAAAAACTCGTCCACGACACTCAGGCCTCAAAAACAGTACCTTATCCCCGGACTGGAGTTCGGTGATGCCCTCGTCCAGTGCAGACCTGTGGACATATATGTCCTGAAAAGCATGACAAGAACACTGCCACTGAAGCACTGGAGCATTGACCCTGGTGTGGCCTTCCCAATCTACCATCACGGTTTTTAGAAAAAATGGCATATGCAATCATATGCAGATCTATGAATCTATGAATCTATGAGGATCACCACCCCATGCGTGTGTGCCCAACGATAGGTTTTAACATTTACCAAATCCCAAAGTAATCGAAGCCATGATGCCGTAGGTTTGGGGGAATCTAAAGCTGATAGAATTGGAACCACCGACCCTTCAAATCCCTAATTTCTCCTCAATCCTTACCAGCTTCCACACCCTGTCCTCTCCACCCATATCCATATCTGGCCGAAGGAAACCAAAGCCTCGAGCCAGACTTTAGCGATGTGGCAGCTAATCTGGCATCAATGCAAAAAAAAAATACCACCTGCACTAGCCTGAGAAAGCCACATTGGTGGATTTGCAGGTCACAACATCACGAATCACACAAAAGGTTGACCTCCAATTGGAAGGCCTTTTCATCCAGTTGAAAACCATCCAGTGTCGAAACTGACTGGATCCTATCACACGTGCTTGGATTCCATCCCCCTGCCTTTCTCATTGAGCCATCGCTTCACGACCCCTGTACATTGCACTCCGGGTGGAGGCTGTTGAGGCATGAAAGCAGCCTGAAACGACTGTTTCTCAGTTTCAAGGTGGGAAATGGCAAAAGCACCACTGATCTGAAACAGCCTGAAACATCCAGTACCAACTAGTGAGTTCTACCTTCTACCTCTTTCAAGTCAACCCAATGTAACCAAGGCCCCAGCTGGGTATTGATAACCATTGGTTGCAGCTTGTCGGATGATTTCGTGCACATTTTGACCCTTTTGCATCATCACCTGGCATTCGCCAGTGTCAACGTCTATCAACCATGCCATATCATGCCATCATCAGCTAGGGCAGCAAGGGGGTTCTTAAAATCAAACTGGGATTCCTCGATCAAAATGAGACCACCCAGTATTGAATCTATGGTTTTGAATCTATGGTTTTTGGGATCGGATCCAAGGCCCCAAGTTAGAGAAATGGCAACAGTTCAAGGATTCAAAACTGCTCCGCCTGGACATCTACGGCAATCTCCTTGGCGGAGCCGTTTCGAAGATCCCAGTCCTGCAGAAGGCCACATGCAATATGCCATCAGCAGGACATCAGGACGGTCCTTGAGGAAAGAGACTTCGTCACCTGGCCGCAAATGACCAATTTTTTATCTATAGATTTCATATTATTTCATTATTTCATTGTATTTTCGTAAACTTTCATTAAATTTTCACGGCAGTGTGGAATTTTGTGCCTGGCTTCTTATCACTGAAGTGCCTGCGTGTGTTCTCGTTGCATTACATTGCACACGGATGTGTACGGTACACCTTTCCGGTACCACTAGATTCCTAGATGAAACCTCTCAAGGGCACTCCGGCTGCCCCACCGAACCAGGTGAATCAGTCAAAGGATCTATCAACAGAAGTGTGATCTCGACGCTGGGCAACCGTCCTCGCCTTTGCACAAGTCAAAGACGCCATATCTCAGCTGCTCCCGGCTCACTGGGAGCGTCTGGTTTTCACCTGCGGGTGCACAGCACCGGGTACCAACATGCAATGCATGGAGGCCCTTGAGCAGGAGAGCATGAAACTTCTCCAAGAGATGAAGGCCCTGTCACATCTTGGCACACTTTCTTAGCAGTCTTAGCATCCTTGGAGGAATTACAACCAACAAACAAACATGACAGGCCAGGCACTTCCTTCAGGGATGATCTGACCAAAGCCGCGGTCTTTTCCTTGGACTCCCAGCATGGCAACCGGTTGGACGTGTCTCTCAAACCAGGGGATACCACAACCAAAATGCTTGCACCTGCCATCTCAGTCTTTATCCCTTTTTCGTGGAGTTTGGGGCTACCCATGGCTACCCTAATCTCTGCACATTTCTAGGTCTTCTTTTGCTGCCTGATGGAGGCACCAAATGGAACGCTTTGAGCATTTCACGCGTGCTCCATGCTGTCATCCCAAGTCCCTGGATCCGCAGCCGAATTCTGCATCCAAGAGTCGCCACGACCTGCACCAGTGTCAAAGACTCGGGTCCGATGGTCTGGTGGCTCAAAGAAGCTCAAGGAACAGAATGGAACAAAGCACCACCAAGCACCTTCTGATTAGGACCATCTTCAAGAAATGTAGCCATCCAATCTTTCCAAGGCTCCACTTTGGACTCTGACCCGACTGAGCCACCGTGCTTGACGGTTCCTCGTTGACGAGGCCCGTAGTACATTGCATGGGCTGCGAAGCGCAGGCTCTGCTGTTACTTAAGTTCTTAACCTATCCCTGGTAGTTGCCAGCTCTTTAACCAAGAATCTCCTGAAGACTTGTCCGTTCTGACTAAGTGGTTGGCATACTATATAATTACATTGTTGATTTGTCTTCACTGCCCGGAGCAACCCTTTGTGCAACGTGATACGGGTTGTGATGTAGCATGTCCTACTGAATCAACTGAGTATCTGGTGGGATGACGGGCGGGAATTTGAGCCCACAAAATTGACTATTCTGATAGCTTCCCACTATCAACATGCTGGCTCCGAATTTAGCGGAAGCTGCGGTCCGCTCTTGAGCCGAGGTTTCGCAAGACCGCCTGGGAAAGGTGCTGGAAGAGGCTGCATGAAATGTAAAAGAGTGACTACATATCAGACCAATATATCTGTGAATGCACATTGACATTGTATCAAGCACAGCGTCAGACATCTCTGAATGATTTTGCAATCCACTAATTATTCTATGCTATGTCGCTGCCAGCCAAAGGAAGAAATAGGGAAGTGACTCCAATTCGATTCTACTCTCTGGCAATCCAACATGGCAATGGAAAGCCTCCGATGTGTGGTTGCCTTCGATATTGATACGGGGAAATCCTGTCACCATCATGCTAGTCTGCCAGACGGCAACCTTTGTGCCGAGCACTCGGTCCCATCACAAGTTATAAGTTTATAGTTTATATCAGTTTATGGCAAATGCCGGTGGATATGCTCACTCTTCCGATTCTATAGATTGGTAGCACTTGTTTCTGATCTCACCCTTCAACCATTCGAGGCCGCCTCTCATTCTCAGGAGCTCAAAACCCACTCGCCATGCTCGGCGAGTCAAAGTCAAAGCCAGTCACATAAATCCATCTTGCAAAGTGCACTGCAGCATGCAATTGCTGCAATGCAGGTGCTGTAATGTTGCAATCACCCATTCTTTCTGGATGAAAAAACAACCAACGAAACTCAGTTTCAAAGGCACCTATTGCTGTCGTGCAATCTCCATGGAGTCCGTGGATGCAGCGAGGCGGTGCGAGTTTTGCCGAAGGTTTGGCACGTCATCGAAGCACAGCATATCATAACATTCCTTAACACATATCACAATATTATGTAATGATTCTACATAAATATCTAGACCTACAATTTTACACATGTACATGTGTGTATTATACATATATATTATACATATATATTATACATATATACTATACATATATATATATATTATACATATATATATATATATATTATACATATATATTATACATATATATTATACATATATATTATACATATATATTATACATATATATATATTATACATATATATTATACATATATATTATACATATATATTATACATATATATTATACATATACCTGGAATTTATGGCATTATGACCCCAGCGCTTAACGATCCATCCTGTCCCGTGTCGTCCCGGCAACCCGGCAACGGTAAAAACCCAGGAGGTCGCGCACCGGCGGAGAAGGTCCAGTCCCGGGCCTCTCGTCGTCCCTGGGCTAT